AGCACTTCCTGGTTCAACAAAATGTATTTGGAAAAATGAGCAAAGCCCCACGAAATGGCCCAAAGCCACTGATAATGAAAGCAAACCACAGTATAGATAGATTTATTAGATAAAAACATATGTTTAAGAATAGGGCTCAATAAAAGCAAAATATGCAAACATATTTGTAAATAGATTAGAATAGTTTAAACTATAGTGAATAGTTTTAGTGCATACATTACAGACAGGGTTGAAGAAGAATCAGAATGACACAGCAGTGGTCATCAAATAGTATTGAAGGAATGGTAAAAATGTGGTTTGTTGTGTGTTGTTTGTTTTCTCTGTATTAACTCTTCACAGATATCAAGCCGGAACTAAGCACAAGTATTGATGATAAACGACGATGTGGATTGTGACCTAATTTTTAATCAGGTCAAAAGAGGGAAACTGTTGTATTTATAAATACGTGACATTCTAAAACCATGTGTTTTATGACCTGTCAACCTCTGCGTGGGAGGCCAGTCCTTCTTATTTTATTTTAGGTGTCTTCTTGTGCCAGCAACTGGACAACAGATTCTGCTGTTTGGATTTCAACCCCCTAGTCTTGGCCTGCTGACTTCTGCACTTTTCAACCTCACTCCATCAGGAGTCTGGCAGACGGAGGAAAAGGCTGGACCCTAGACCGGAAGCTGGCTGATAGGACACTCCCCTCCTTCCTGTTCTTTTTATATGCTCTGGCTGGGGGAGACACAGAAGGATCAGCCGAGGGCCAGAGAGAGGGACATATATAGTTTTAGGAGCACTCTTTGTTGGAATTTCTGTATCTGATTGTAAAGATAAATTAAATACAGATGTTAAACTTGGAGATCTCTGTCTTACTCTTGCGCCAACTTTGAACACGTCCAGTCAAGGGAATTACTGACTACAACGGTTGTAGTAGCCGAGGCAACAGAAAGAAAGAATTGCAGCCCCCGCTGTTAGCTCACTCACTGCTGTTAGCTTAATGTAGAATTAAGCTAAGTTAGCTCCCCCTGGAGCTCCTTACTTTTGGTTATTTACAGCTCAACAAATCACCGAAATGACAATAAAGGGTCAGACTTCTCGCTTCAAATGCTGTCTAAAGTAATGTTTGTGCCATATTTATTGTGTTATTGATCAGAACTATCATCTCAAACGTGTTTCCGTTGATACCAGAGTGACTCCACTGTCGTCACTATAACAGCCTTAATCTTTCTCATTGTTGAAAAAAAGGGACTCATTCAAACAATACAAAGTGTACGCTGCATTAAAATAGTTTTCACTCATTATAGTGTGATACTAAGCCACAAGAAGCTATGTCTGCGTTTTCCAGCATTGCCCATTCTATTTAATAGGAGAAAAATACTTCCTGTCCTACGGACACATGTCCCACCCCCTTTTGGTTACGTGGTTGAAACCCTGCAATGCTGCTTGGAAGTTCAAGTTTTATAATGTTCTGTATAATTGCAGTTTTGCACAATACATTTTAAAAAGTAACTATCTTGATTATTTCATTCAAGAACCTGCTAGACCTATATTGAAATTCACACACCAAATTATACTGCAATATATACCGTCTACCGTCTGTGTCCCAAATTATACCGCAATATGAATTTTAGGCCATATCGCCCACCCCTAACAACAAGCATAGACCAACTCTAGCGGTGTCTAAATCTGAGTGAATTAGATCCATGGTTAGAGACGGGAAAGAGCGCTGTGTATGGAGCCATGGTGTGTGAGGAGGAGCAGCTGCAAGCGACTCCTCAGAGAAGGAGGCGGCGGAGGAGGAGGAGCAGCAGCAGTGACACAGGTGTGTGAGCTGCTATTGTTGATGTTTTAGTTCGAATGCACAAACGTATTATAAGCTTTAGTGCTCACTTCGAGTGTAGTTGATTTTGGTTATACAAAGCGTATGTTGTGGACAGAGTGTGTGGAGGCAATGACAGATACGTTATTTGATGGGAAAGAAGTCCATCTGATCATCATTGTTTAAGCTTATGTATTCAGTCATTATTCAATGGTAAACTAAAAATCCATGTGAACAAAATAACAGTCATTAAAAAAATTGACAGGCTTTGACCATGTGTAAATGGAGCATGACTATCGGTCGGCATCGAAGAGATTCTGGCAAACCGTCTGGCGCCTTAGGAGGGGGAAGCAGTTCTTTACCAACACCGTGTACGGTGTGGGTGGAGAGCTGCTGTCCTCAACTGGGGATATTGTCGGGCGGTGGAAGGAATACTTGGAGGTTCTCCTCAATCCCCCCGTCACGTCAGAGGCTGAGGATGTTAGGGCAGATACTTCCATCTCCCGCCCTGACTATCTAAAGTCTCTGGATGTTGGAGGACTGTCTTGGCTGACACCTCTCTGCAGCATCGCATGGCAATCGGGGGCAATGCCAATGGAGTGGCAGACCGGGGTGGTGGTCCCTCTACAAGAATGGGGACCTGAGGGTGTGTTCCAATTATCGTGGGATCACACTCCTCAGCCCCCCCGGTAAGGTCTACTCCAAGGTACTGGAGAGGAGACTACGACTGATGGTCATATCCCGGATTCAGGAGGAGCTGTGTGGTTTTCGTCCCCGTCGTGGAACACTGAACCAGCTCAATACTCTCCATCGGATACTCGAGGGTTCATGGGAGTTTGCCAAACCTGTCGACATGTGCTTTGTGGATTTGGAGAAGGCGTTCGACCGCATTCCCCGGGGTGTCCTTTAGGGGGTTCTCCAGGAGTACGGGGACCTCTGCTGAGGGCCGTCCCGTCCCTGTATGACTGGAGCCAGAGCTGTGTTCGCATCGCCGGCAGAGATTTGCGGACGATGTTGTCATGTTGGCTCCGAAGAACCAGGACCTGCAACATGCACTGGGACGGTTTGCAGCCGAGTACGACTGGGATGAGAATCAGCACCTCCAAATCCGAGGCCATGGTGCTCGACCGGAAAAAGGTGCCTTGCCCTCTCCAGGTGGGTGGAGAGGTCCTTCCTCAAGTGGGTCCTATCTCGGGGCCTTGTGAGGGAAGGATGCCGCTTGAGATTGACAGGCGGATCGGTGCAGCGTGCGCAGTGATGTGGTCGCTGTATCGGACCGTCCTGGTAAAGAATGAGCTGAGCCGAAAAGCAAAGCTCTCGATTTACCGGTCAATCTTGGTTCCCTCCCTCACCTATGGTCATGAGCTTTGGGTAATGACCGAAAGGACAAGATCGTGGATACAAGCGGTCGAAATGAGCTTCCTACGCAGAGTGGCTGGGCGCTCCCTTAGAGATAGGGTGAGAAGCTCAGTCACTTGAACACAGTCAGTAAGAACCAACATTTCTCCATGTGATAAAATGACAGATCTAAGAGGGCAGTAGACCAGGAATCGTCTTATAAACAAAAGTGCACCAGTATCCCAAGCTCCTGGAGAATGGACATGTGCATATTGTGGACCATCTTCTCTGCTGCTACATTCTTCCTCTGTGTTTCAGGTCATTTCCATGTTTTTGTCGGCGATTTAAGTCCAGAGATAACAACAGAGGACTGCAAAGCCGCATTTGCTCCATTTGGGAAAATAACGTAAGTTGAAGAGTCAGTCCTTATTAAAGTGATGTTTTATTTTGAGTTGTGTGTTTTGTTCAGAGATTGTCGGGTTGTCAAAGATATTGCTACAGGAAAATCCAAAGGCTATGGCTTCGTCTCATTCTTCAATAAATGGGTTTGTGCTGTTGAATAATAATTGAAGAAAACTGTTGATATAATGCATTGTTTTTATTAATTCTATTGTATCATCATGTGTTGGTATCCTCTTAGGATGCTGAAAATGCCATTCAGCAGATGGGAGGACAATGGCTGGGAGGAAGACAGATCAGGACTAACTGGGCCACAAGAAAGCCGTCTCCAAAAACTACAAATGAAAGTAAGTTTTTGAAATGAGTGATAGTTACCCCAGCATTTACATCCATAACTTGAATACAGGTAGACGTAAAAACATGGGAGAAAAAGAATCAATAGTTGTAGTTATTAGTCCGGCATCTTCTATCGTCTTCTTCTTCTATTATCTTCTTCTATCATCTTCTATCTTCCGCCAGATTTCAGTGAGTTTCAATTCTTCAACGCTTTCAGGAATATGGTTTAAAGCAAGGAAGGTGAGTGCTGCAGAGGGTACGAGTAGTTCAAGGCTAAACAAAACAGGTGCTCTTCAAAGACGGGGCAATCCAAGCAGATTTAGGATGTTAAAAAGAAGTCTGAGGCACTCTGCTTTCAGGAATATACCTTGTTTTGTTCGGTTTTCTCGTCTCATGGGGGCTGTTACTTTTGGTGTATGTAACTTTTAAAATAGTTTATTTTCTGCAATTGTTTGACTTTTCTGATCTTCATAGCGATGTCACTCATCGCATTGCTTTTGGTACTACTAGCTTTTGTAGTACTTCCAGTATTCGTCATACTTTTTCCAGTATTCGTCATAGTCTTTTACAGACACGGCAAAAACATTGTTGTTGTTGATACAGACATCATTCCAAAATATAATGGCTTGATCGGAAATGTTTTCCCTTTCATTCGTGCAGACATCTTGTCAATCCTAAGAAGATAGGCTAACCCCTCACGCCTGAAAGAGGAAACACCTTTTTCATCACTCCATATATTTTGGTTTGGTTGCAATGTTTCAGTCAACTCTGTTACTCTGACAAACAGTCAGCGATATAGCGAGCCTCAGACAGAATCTGTGACCTGCGTATAATTACTGAGTGTCTCAGCGTTCACAGTGAAACATATTTTTGTCTGTCATTGGTTTGTCTCAGTCATTGGTTTGTCTCAGTCATTGGTTTGTCTCAGTCATTGGTTTGTCTCAGTCATTGGTTTGTCTCAGTCATTGGTTTGTCTCAGTCATTGGTTTGTCTCAATCCGTTTAAATACGTTAAATATAATTAAATAACTCCCTCTCTTCCCCGCCCCCTGAGTGTGTTGCACCTCAACTCATTTGTTGAAACGAGTCAAGATGCTCCCACATGCAGTGATGCTGAGAAGTGTTTACTCCCTGCAACACTTCCACCACCTCCTCCTCTTCTTCTGGATCCTTTTGTCCAACTCGTTCTGAATCTCTTCCACTTGGAGCTTGGTTTGACGCAGCTCATCATTTGAGTCCTTCAAAGATGTCTCCAGCTCTTCACATTTGCTCAGGGAAAGTTTGAACTTTGTTTCCAGCTCCTGCAGAACCTTCTTGTGCTGTGCCTCCTCGGCCGTTTGCTTCTCAGACAGCAAAGTCTTCAGGTAGGCCACAGTTTGGTCCTTGGTTTCTGCGTCCTTGTCAGCCTGCTGAAGACTAGTCTTTAGAGCCTTATTCTCGGCTTCAGACTTCTTCAGTTCTCTTTTGGTCTCGGCAAGTTCCCCCACGTTCTTTATGTTTTCAACTGTATCTTTGATGTGATTTTTCTCTGCTTCATCCAGCTCCTCCTGCAGCTCCTGTGTCGTGGTCTGCAGCTCTTGGATCGTCTGCTCTTGCTGCTGTTGGAGCTTTTTCATCTTTGAGAGTTCAGTTTCCAGCTTCGTATTCCTTGCCTCGTCTTGTGAATGTAGTTGATCTGCTGTATCCAGTTGTTCCCGCAGAGATTCTGTGTCTTTCTGCAGGTCCAAACAATAATTCTCCAGTTGAAGTTGTTTCTCACGGGCTTTTTTCTCATAATCATCGATCTGGCTTTCGATTTCTTGAGTCACAAGCTCTATCCGTTTTTCCCTTTTCTCAATGAATTCCTTTCCTTTCTCGATCAGGATGTCCTTTTTCTCTAAGGTCTTCTTAAGCTTATTAACTTGGAGCTGGAGATCATCTCGCTCTTGAACTACCTCATCAGCTGTCATTGTCTGCTGCTTCAGTTCATGTTTCAATTTTGCGACTTCTGTCCCGAGCGTCTTCCTTTTAGAATTAACATACATAAGCGTTTGGTCTGTTTGCTTCAGTTGTTGTTGCAGAGAGACTATGGTTTCCTTCAGGTCCACACAGTAATTCTGGAGATCGATATGATTCTTCTGGAGGTTTCCCACATAGAGATTGACCACGTTTCGGATGTTTAGGGCTTCGTTCCTCATCATCTTCTCCCTGTTCTTAATGAATTTCGTCCCAAATTCTATCAGGGTGTCTCTCTGTTCGAGGAAGTCGTTTTGCTCGTTAATCTTTTGGTCTCGCTCTTGAAGTTTCAGTTCGAGCTCCGTCAGTCTCTGTTTCTGTACAGCGTTGACTTGGAGCTGTTCTTCAAGAGTTTTTTCAACCTCGAGGAGGCGAGCGAGTTCTACGTGAACAACCATGATCTGAGTTGTTGGGGGTAGAGTCTATTTTCTCGTTAAGTAGGAAATTGGAGCAGTTTTTCTGCTTGAAAGTTCGGCGCTAGTTCTGTGTTCATAAAAGTCAGAAAATGACTTACCTACATCATCTCTGGTCAATGCCTGTCTTTATGACATCATTGTGTTCTAGATCAGGGGTTCCCAAAGTTTTTAGCCCGCGACCCCCATCATAAATGCCCTGCTAACCCGCGACCCCCCCCCCCCCCAACAGCCCTTTCGTCACATGAAATGAGCATGTATTTCCTTGATACGGAGTAACGCTTTCTAGAGACTCACGCCACTACTGAGCTGCACTGTCCAGCCCAAAAAAGGAGGCTTGCATATTTTTACTCATGTAGTGACACAGTGATGGGCTTGGTGGGCTCCCTCCTCAGCAGAAGTGGAGCGCATTTCTTGCGGCTCGCCCTCACTGTTCTCCTACCGCGGTAAAGTGGGCCGGCTTTCCGGAGTCAGCGGTAAAGAGGTCCGCACATTAAAAGCGGGCGGCCGCTTTCTGCTGTTACTTTATGCGGTTACTTTATGCGGTTCATCCCCGCGGCTTCTCTTTCCAAAGTTACTGTCAGTAAAGGCATAAACCGGCCACCCGCTTTTAATGTGCGGACCTCTTTACCTCCGAAAAGCCGGGCCTCTTTAACGCGCTGTTCTACCGCTGTCCTCCCTCCCTCCCTTCCTCCGCTGCCCTCCCTTCCTCCGCTGCCCTCTCTCCCTCTCTTCGCACCATCAGCCTGACCCCTGATACAAGTGACTTTTCTCCCCCTCCGGGTTTTTCTGTTGTGGATATTAACCACGTTTCATTTTAAAGCAGGTATTATTTATTTGTAGCCTCCAAACACCTTTAGTTTTAGCAAACAACAGCTGGACACGCTTTGTCGCTGCGCATGATGTGAGCTGTGTTACGTGATGATTTTGATTGACGCTGCAATGACTGGGACAAAATTACTAACGTTGTTAAAATATATTTTATAAATATATTATAAAATATACATAATAATATATATAAATGCTAAATAAATATTTAAGGGCTTTATATTTGCTTTATATTTGATTTTTTTTTTGAGCAAAAAAAATCTTTTTTTGTGTGTGTGGAAATCATCTTGCGACCCCCCCAGGGGTTCCCGCGACCCCCCGGGGGGTCGGGACCCCCACTTTGGGAACCACTGTTCTAGATGACGTTATCAACGTGTTCCCATGGCAACAGAATGCTTTTTATTCTATTGTGGTTGCTATGGTTACATACACATACACATAGGAGGCATTGGTCCAAGAAGGTAGCGACCAATTTCCATAAATGTTAACATTTGGGCATAAAAATCTTCAAATGTCCGAGTTTAAGAAATAATTGAGCTTTTCCTAAATGTTTTCAGTTTTTTAAGTTAGTTTTTCACATGTTTTCTGAGACACACCTTTATATCAATCAGTTTGTGACCAAATTGTGCACACTATGCAGTAGTTGATTTACTTTTTTTCCTTTTATCCAAAGCCCCCAACGCCAAACAGCTGTCCTTTGATGAGGTGGTAAACCAGTCCAGCCAAAGCAACTGCACGGTCTACTGCGGAGGCGTCACCTCTGGTCTCACTGGTACATCACATGTTTACAGCCTTAAATACAATGCTATAATAAGTTCTATTTGTTATGGCTTTCCCACGCTCTGAGATTGAGATTGCATAGCTGTAAATATCTTCAGTCAGTTTTGGATGGCCAACTAGACTAAAATGAATGTGTTTCTGTTATTGCTGTAATTTACAGTCAATCCTGACAAAATCACAAACACAAAAGGCATAGTTTCTGCATTCTTTATACTTGGTTGCATTCCAAGGAGAAGTGATTTCTAAAACAGAGACAGAGCAGAAAGTGCTGCTCTCTCTCTGGTTCCAAAATCAGATCTGACTCAAACAGGCTCAAACATACAGTTTTAAAGAAGCACCTTTAGTATTTAGCATATCAGTTGTACAGAACAAAAGTGGCAGAGACGATGGCAATCCCACAAGGGCTAGTCTTGGCCCTCTTCAAACAGCCCTCTTCGTCCAGACGTGTAGGCTACGGTACATGTAGCCTACCGTACATGTAGCCTACAGTACATGTAGCCTACAGTACATGTAGCCTACAGTACATGTTACTTCTGCAAATCTGGACACACACAACAGACTCATGTTATTGAGGGTTATAGATGGAACATTACTAACCCCATGAGTGCGTTCACACTTCAGTCCCATGTGAACCAGAGTTCACTTTAAGTGAACACGTTAAGGAAACAATGCTTGAGATGTGAAACCACCAACATGATCTTAATGACCACTGAGTGTGAATAAACCAGTCATTGTTTGTGGTTCCACATGTTCACAGATGAAGCCATTGTGTCCTAATCGCTTCACTTACGGTGAACTCTGCGTCACTTGGGACTAAAGTGTGAACTTCAGTAACTATATGTCTGTGTAGCTCCTCAATGACAACGTTGCACACGGATTCTCGAGTACGGGCTCATTTATTGACCTTACAAGTGTCATAAATGTCTTTCAATGCCGTGAAAACTACAGGACAAAATAAAATATGCAATTAAACACAACTTCTTGTCAACTTAAGACTTAAAATTAGCTACCTCGTGGCCGCCTGTCATGTCGGAGGTCTTTAACTTAACTTGAGAAGCAATATGTGCGTTTCAGCTCTAAACAAGATAATACAATTAAAAACACAAACACAAATACACAATAAAATTATACATGTACAAAATAAATACCTCATACAGTTTCTTTCTCACTGAAAGTGGCTCTCGCTCTGATGCCTTTGAGCACGAGAGAGCGTCTGCCTGTCTACCTGAGGGCCCCTTGTAAACCCCAGTTCTCGCAGATTCTCGCGATAACAAAATTACAAAATAAAACCCATGTATAAAGGTGTAATAACAAATACTTTCTTTTGGAGAAAACACAAATATTACTAATGTATTTTACAAAACTATTCTAAACCAAATAAATAGAAAAGCAAAATAAACTTTTATAAGAAACCTTTATAACAACAGTTACAATCTGTACATATAGAACATGTACATATACATGTACATATAGAACAGACATTGTACAGACCTCCATAAAATGTGGTAGTCATTTCTAAAAGCTAAACACATTTGTTGGGATATCTATCACTATAATTGGTGGAGCAAATATTGGTTAAATTAACCAAAATACTGGTCAGAGCATACTCTTCCCTCACGGCACCTGCTCACGCGCTCCTGGCCTCTCCCAGCCCGCTCCAGACCCACCTCAGCGCCCCTCTCCTCCCATCACAGCCACTCCAGCGCCAGTCATAACACCCTCCCCACGACCTCTGTTTGCACCCACAACTCTTCTGGTGGGTGACTCAATTATCAAACGCTGCAGATTTTTTAATGCTTCCACTCACTGTTTCCCTGGAGCCACCGTCACCACGCTGCTGGACAAAATACCTGGACTGCTTAAAAACGCCCCATCTACAATAACCCGTCTTATCATTCACATCGGTTCCAATGACGCTTCATCCCGCCAGTCAGAAACCACAAAGCTCCATTTTAAAGATCTTTTTATCTTTTATCAAGTTCAGTAAAATCTGTTTTTATCTCCGGCCCCCTACCCACTCTAAACCGAGGGGAGGAACGTTTTAGCAGGTTATTAGCTCTACACACCTGGCTCAAATTCTCTTCAACCCTCCACAATTTTGGTTTTATTGACAATTTTAATTTATTCTGGCACCGCTCCTCCTTCTTCAGACCCGATGGACTCCATATCAACCCCCTTGGTAATCGTTTCCTCACATCCAACATCATCCACTCAGTACAGTCCCACACCACCTTCATCTGACTATCACTCTCGTGTTTTTAACTCCACCTCTGCTCTTAAATTTTCCCAACTTTTTACCGCAGCTTCCTTGACTACTTTTAACCAACATTTTAGCCTGGAGGAGCAGGTCTCCTCCTTTTATCAGACATCACTTAGGATTTTAGACACCATTGCACCTTTTAAACAAAGAAACCCCACCAGAACACCACAACCATGGCTCAATGAAAATACTCGCACACTATTACGCACCTGCCGACAATATGAACGGAAATGGAAAAAGACACAACTCACAGTATTTCACCTCGCCTGGAAAGACAGCCTCAAACAATATCAACACGTAGTCAAGGAAGCAAGAACCTTATTTTATTCAAATACCATCAGTCAAAACATTTCAAATCCTAGAGTTTTATTTCAAGTTTTAAATTCTATCACAAACCCCAGTCCTGCTGTTTTTAATGATGCATCCACTGAGCTGTGTGAACAATTTTTAAATCATTTTATCAAAAAGATCACTGATATCCGGGCCCAAATATCTGCTCCCAGCCAAGCAATTTTTATAGACAGAGAAACTCTGGATTTTAATTGTTTTACTAATTTTATGCCTTTATCCCTTTCTCTTTTATCTGACATTTTATTCCACATGAAACCAACCACGTGCAGCCTCGATGTCATCCCCACCAAATTTCTCAAAGATGTTTTTAATGTGGTTGGACCCTCCATTTTATCAATCATTAATCAGTCCCTGGACCAAGGTCTTGTCCCATCCAGTTTTAAACATGCTGTGGTTCAGCCACTTTTAAAGAAGCCTAATTTAAGCACTACTGATTTTAACAATTTTAGACCCATTTCAAAACTTCCTTTTTTATCCAAAGTTTTAGAGAAAATTGTTTCAATTCAGATTTTAGATTTTATTAATGAGAACCACATCTTTGAGAAATTCCAATCAGGTTTTAAAGCACAACACAGTACAGAGACAGCCCTCCTTAGAGTTTTAAATGACCTTCTTTTAACCACAGACAGCGGAGGGTGCTCTATTTTAATTCTTTTAGACCTAAGCGCAGCCTTCGACACGATCGACCACAGGATTTTATTGGATCGCCTCAAAACGTGGGTTGGCATCAGAGATACTCCACTTGGTTGGTTTCATTCTTATCTTT